GAATCGACCATATTTCCCATTTGATTGAGTTTTCTGACAATAAGAAATAGTCCAGCTACGGGCTTCTGCCTGCCAAGATGGCGCCGTTTCGATTTGAACTGTTGCATGCTGGGAGAAGTGACATTAACTCCCGGAGCTCTATACAGTACTATTAGTAAGGTGTCACATTACTCTAATTGTCTGTGTTACATCACTGGGCTGCTGTACTTTTTCTCTCTGTGTAAACATACATGCCAACTCCATATAAATGAAGCTTAATTGAGCTGAACTGAACCGTAAACTCAGTTTTACGGCGAGTTAGAGATGATATGATTAGTGGTTTCCAGATCAGCTCAGTGCTAAAACACACATACAGTCATTCATTTATTTAGCTCTGCTGCTTAGATTTTACTTTAATGTAATTATTATTTAATTAATACAACCGCTGTGAGATGGGAGTGACACTAATGGGATTTTCACACCGACTGTTGTTTCACTAAGGAACGTCCAGCCTAATATTTTTTAGTCCTTGATAAAAAAAAAAATTGTAGGTGTTTACTGCAAAGTAGGGATGCTCGCTATTGGCTTTTTTTTTTTTTTTTACAATCCAGTCATAAGCAGAGAGGCCCAGACTTCCCTCTCCCCAGCTACTTGTGCCAGCTCCTCAGCAGGTATCCTAAGGCGTTCTTTGGCCAACCGAGAGACATAGTCCCTCCAGCGTGTCCTGGGACTTCATTTAGGTCTCCTCCCAGGTGGACATGTCCGGAAAACCTCACCAGGAAGGCGTCCAGAAGGCATCCCAACCTGGTGCCCGAGCCACCTCAACTGGCTCCTCTTGACGTGGAAGAGCAGCGGCTTTTTTACCAATATCCTATATAAGATATTGTCTAACTCTTAATTTACAATACCAATATATTATCATAAAAAAATCTAAATCCTTTTAGGTTGCTAACATTATGTTTCTCCCATTGTGACAGACGCTGTCTGTTCCTGGCCTCTAGAGGGCCTCGGTACTCTGCCTGCACACCTGCAGGCTATTATGTTCATTGAGTCTCCCTGTTAAAAGGGAGCTCTTGGAGACATCCAGGGAGAGATTCCAGATGGGCGTTGATGCGGAGGTGTTAACTCTCCTCTCTCTCTCCTCGGTCCAGACGTTAAAGTCTTCGTTCGACACCTGAGTGTTCTTGTTTGTTACCTGAGTGGTAGTCCTTAGTTTCGTTACCCGAGTGTTTTTTTGGTTTTGTTACGTGAGTGGTATTTGTGTTTGCATATATTGAGATAGCAGTTGTTCGTGTGTTCTCACTTCCTGAGAGACTTGGCTCACCCTTTTGGTGCAGTATTTTGTGTTACTTCGTTTAGCTTTATTCCCAGCCCTTTTGCGCTGCGCCTTTTTGTTTATTAGAATTCATTCAGTTATTAGAGACCATTTCATTTGTAATTTCCCAGTATCTGGATGACCTTTTTGTTTCTTATTTCAGCCCAGAGCGCAGTTTTGGTTAATAAACTTCCTTCCAAGAGTTTTAATTTGGTTTGTTTCATTCACAGACATCTTTTCTTTAATCCCTTAAATTAAACCATGCTCCTAGCGAAGCCAAGGGACGTAAAACCCATGATGCATGCTTAAGGGTGTGGTCACAGAAAAAACGTCTTTAATGATTATTTCTGATTATAATCAGTCACTCTGAGCTTTTCATGCAGGCTGAACATGAAAATAGTCTCCTACACCTATCTCCGGCATTAGCTTCTGATAGAACATGGACGGTGAAACTCTAGGATTAGAAAATCTTGACAGATTTATGTCACACTGTCACTTAACATTGATGGACTCATCCATCTCGACTCATGGCGCGGAAGGCTGTTGTTGTTTTATCGTCCAGGAAACAGCAGAGAATGTCTTGGCTAGTAGAAGCTAATGTTAGCATTAGCAACTCCACCACCCAGCAGAGCTCCTTCAGGCTTGTGTCATTTGTGGAGATAAAACCTCAACATGGCAAAACAAAGAGTCAGTCAGTAGCGTACCCGCTTTACCTCCTCCTGAGCTACTGCTGCCCCATAGTGACATTTTGAGAGGAGATGTAGCTGAAGAGTTTAATGTATAATATGTGCATGGTATGTAAAGAATGTGTCCTGAAAAGAGTAAAAACTGATACCGATATCTTCAGATATTACATTTGGATGCCAGTATCGGCCAATAATTTTGGTAGATGATATTGCACAGCCCTACCGGAAAGTTTCTGCAGATGCTGTCTGTGCAAAATAAAAAAATATGTTTTGCAAAAGAATGATGTTCAGGTCAGGTCAGTGCTGTGCAGATCTTTGACCCAACATGGTGGCTTCTGTGACCTTTGTGTTGAAATTTACATTTATTATCGCTTCTTCTTGTTGCTTTTGGACAATAGCAGAAGGAGATCTCAACTCAAGATGTCTCTTGCTTCATTTTCTCTCACTTGCAGTTTATTTGTAATAATCGTAAAAGTGCTTTCTAAGGATGATTGTATGGTAATAATCATGTAATCAAACGTGTTTGAAATTGTATAAAATCAGAAAAATTGGTAGCAGCTGATCTCCCTGGAATGTCGTCACACTCAGATCAGGGTTTTTTTTTTGTTGCCGATCACATAATCATCGATACTAAACACATGGATTGGCCATAAATGTTCTATGATGTTATGATGAGCTTGGCCTGCATTACCAGCAGTAAGTCGGGCTCGTTTCCAGTAGGAGTCGGACTCTGCCATGGCTGCCCTTTGTCTCCGATTCTATTCATAACTTTTAAGGACAGGATTCCTAGGTGCAGCCAAGGTGTTGATGGGATCTGATTTAGTGGCCTAAGGATTGAGTCTCTGCTTTTTGCAGATGATGTGGTCCTATTGGCTTCATCAGAACATGATCTCCAGCTCTCATCGGAGTGGTTCGCAGCTGGAATGAGAATCAGCTCCTCTAAAGCGGTCCCAAGTCCTCCGAGACCATAGTCTTGAGTCGGAAAAGGGCAGAATGCCTTCTCCGGGACAGAGATGCGGTCCTCTCCCAAGTGGAGGAGTTTAAGTATCTCGGGGTCTTGTTCACGAGTGAGGAAAAGCTGGATCATGAGATCGATAGGAGGATTGGTGCTGCATCTGCAGTGATGCAGGCGTTGTACCGGTCTGTCGTGGTGAAGAGAGAGCTGAGCCAGAAGGCGACATTCTCGATTTACCAGTCGATCTACGGTCCTACCCTCACCTATGGTCATGAGCTTTGGGTAGTGACCGAAAGAACGAGACTGCGGATACAAGCAGCCAAAATGAGTTTTCTCCGCAGGGTGGCTGGGCTCTCCCTTAGAAATCGGGTGAGAAGCTCGATCATCCAGGAGAGGTTCGGAGTAGATCCGCTGCTCCTCCACAATTAGAAGAACCAGTTGAGGTGGCTCGGGCGTCTAGTAAGGATGCTTCCTGGACGCCTCCCTGGTGAGGTTTTCTGGGCACGTCTAACTGGGAGAAGGCCTAAAGGAAGACCCAGGACACGCTGGAGAGACTGTCTCATCAGAACACCCCTAGTCCCAACCAGTTTCTGCTGGTTTTGGTCCTAAAGTTGAGTTCTTGAATGTCATCCATTCATTTAATTGTTTTCTTTGCTCAGTACAACTGACCAATGGGGGATTTTTTTAATCCGATAAAAACCCAAAATATTGATTTTTTGAGGCACTCAGAAAAACGTTGGAAAGACCAGGCTGAATAAACAGTTTATTTTATTCAGTCAGTGTTTTCCCAACAAACTAACATGCATTTCTTTCGACACAATTATATTTTTATTTGTCAATGTTATTCTGACAACTTTTCAGTGAGTGTACTTTGCCACTTGTGTATGAGCTTGGGACCTTCCGTTTAGATGTTTTTATACCGCTGCCTGCTCTTATAAATGTAGCTTTACTGCAAACTTTACAGCTGCTTTAAGCGGCTCTCGGCTATTACCTGTTAAAGTTGTAGCTACAATAAACAGATGATTTTATGTTTTTTGTCCCTACCAGCCTTCTGGTTAAAATCGTTCTAGATGTTGCTGACCACTTTTGATTGTTTCGGCTGCTAATTGCTGCATTTAGTTCCGACTTTTGTTGATGGACCTTCTGTTTGCTGACTTCTGTTGCTGCAAACTAAAATAAATCATTGAAAGACACAAAGAATCACTGCAATTATTTATCAGTAATGCAAAATTTAAGTATTGACAAAAACAGTGAGTGGGTGGCTTTTTTTTCTGCTTTGCAATTAGGAGCATAATCTAATCGGAAAATAATAGTTTTTTGTTATGCAAAGTATAGAATAAAGCCAGGATTTACTAGCCTGGCAAGCCAGACTAAATAAATGTATTATTTAGTCTGGCCACGCTCCACTGACGGCTCTCAGTTGTGGGGCGGGTTCTACCGTTGTCTTTCAAATGATCTCCACATTCCACTGGACAATGAATGTGACATACTCTTGTTTCACTCTGTTGCATCATCCCACCCACCAGGCATATAGAGTGCCCTGATTGGCCCACAAAGCAGATAAATCTCTGTGATTTGTTCACTAAGCAGATAGAGCACTATGATTGGCCCACCATTATGGACCAATCACAGCTCTTTATGTGTTTGAAACCCCTCTAGAGAGCTGTGATTGGCTAGCCAGAGTCCTGGTAGGAGCTGCTGTGGTTCCAATGGAGCATGCCTAGACCAAACTTTGCAAAGCAAGAATTTGGTCTAGTTCACTAGGCTAAGGATTTACTGGATTAGCATTGTCTATCATTATTGCTTTTGTATACATTGTGTTATCCAGAGCCTTACTTCTCTATCTCGTGTTGTCACGATGGAAACAGAATAGAAGGAAACACATCGCATAAATTGTTCGATTTTGGCTCTTTTGAATATGAATGGCACACATCACAAAGCACCGGCGCTAAAGTTGGCAAATGAGTGGACCATTAATTAAACTCATACCTGTCTCCTTCCTAGAGCTCATTCTTCTCACACTTTTTTCCCCCTTTCTGTCTCTTTTTTTGTGTTTGTGTGACAGAAACGGTGATGGATACGAGGACAGCGACAGCTGAGCTTGGCTGGATATCGTTTCCTGCCAACGGAGTAAGAACAAAGCTGTTCCATACGTGTGTGCGTTTGTCTGTGTGTGTGCAACCACTCGTGGGGAGAGCGGTTTGACTGCACTTTAAAGTGGTCGATTAACGAGTCAGTCAAAATTTTAATTACAGTGGCAAGGTGACATCAAGTAACCACCACTGATGCGGAAAAGAATATATTCCTAAAGATCGTAGCTGCAAAAGAAAGAGGAAAAAGAGTACAATAGATCCTTTCGTAGTTTTTCACGAAAATATTCTGGCTTCTTAAAATTCCAGCCTAGCATCTTGCCAGTCACAGTATTGGGCTGTGTGAGTGTGTTTGAGGTGAATGGCTCTAATTGTGATGAATGGTTGTCCCTGTGCCGCACAGAACTAAGTGGTGGAGAGGAACAAAAGAGAACAAGGGAGGCAGGGAGAGGGAGATAGAAATATTGGGAAGGAGTGATAGCGAAAGTTTAATTTGTACCTGGTTTAAGCAAAACCATTAATCATCTTAGCATCTCATCCTACCTCTCCTCTCTCACCCCTCATTCCCTCTCGTCTGTCTTAGTGGGAGGAGGTGAGCGGCTACGATGAGAACCTGAACACCATCAGGACATACCAGGTGTGCAACGTGTTTGAGCCCAGCCAGAACAACTGGCTTCTGACCACCTACATCGACCGGCGGGCGGCGCAACGCATCTACGTGGAGATACGCTTCACGGTTCGGGACTGCGCCTCCATACCGAGTGTGCTGGGTTCCTGCAAAGAAACATTCAACCTCTACTACCTAGAAACTGACAGAACTGTGTCAGAGAGCATCAAAGGGGTGGAGTATTGGGCCAATGCTCCATATCTAAAGGTAATCCCCAAGAAACCCTTTAAATGAAGAAAACAAATTGCAAAATCAGATTAACATTAATAGTTCAAAGCTGAGTCCATGGCACGGCGTCATCACGGAGAGGAGATTTTGAAGTTTGAATGACTATAGCTCCCCTTCTTCTTAAGGAGCTGGAAGCCACCTTATACCACACGTGTGCAGGGAGGGCGGAGTCAGTAGAAAGAGCTAAAACAATAGTCTGACGTAGTGCAGGGTGGAACGCTACGCTAAACCCTTATCTCCAATACACAAAAGATAAAAACCTTTTTGTTCCCTCCTTGTTCTCCACAGTTAGCGCCACGAATCACCTGCCCCCATATATATATATATATATATATATATATATATATATATATATATATATATATATATATATATATATATATATGTATATATATATAAATATATATATATACATACATACATAATATACCACATATATATATATATATATATATATATATATATATACCACATATATATATATATATACCAGGAATGTATCCAGAAGGCATCCTGACCAGATGCCCGAGCCACCTCAACTGGCTCCTCTCAATGTGGAGAAGCAGCGAGTCTGCTTCGAGCCCCTCCCTGATGACCGAGCATCTCACCCTATCTCTAACCTTTTAGGCTCCAGGCCTTTTTTCTTTGGACCCTGGTGCCTCCCAACTGGGGGCCTTTGGAGTTTCATGTCCCAGGTGTCAGTGATTGTGTGCATTCCCCGAGCACAGCTGCAGCTACAATCAGAACAGTTTAGATCGTAAACAAAGCAACTTTTGGTTTTTGATACATTAATATAAAATAATACTTGAACTTTATTTTAGAAGAGCTGCCCTGTGTGAAAGTGCTGACAGGATGGAGGTTGTGAGTTCAAATTCCATTTAGGAAATTTAGTCAATTGTCTCATTTATTCCAGGGGTCCTCAACTAAATTTGTTCAAGGTTTTTTTTTCAGCAGACACCAGAGAAGGTCAAATGCTCTTCTAAAATAAAGTTCAAATATCATTGTATCTTCATTTATTACAATTTGAAATGGCCTTGTTTCCCATCTGGGCTGTTTTATTGTGGTTTTAGTTGTGTTTGGAGAATGTGGACAGTTGTAGATGTTTGGGACATGAAACTGTAGAGGCCCCCAATTGGGGGAAGTTAGGGTTAAACAGGCTAAGGGAGAGCCCAGCCACCCTGTGGAGAAAACTCATTTTGGCCGCTTGTGTCAGCAATATTGTTCTTTCGGTCCCTACTCAAAGCTCGTGACCATAGGTGAGGGTAGGAACGTAGCTCGGCCAGTACATTGAGAGCTTTGCCTTCTGGCTCAGCTCTCTTCACCATGACAGACCAGATGCAGCACCAATCCACCTATTGATCTCGCGCTCCAGCTTTCCCTCACTCGTGAACAAGACGCTGAGATTCTTAAATTCCTCCACTTGTGGCAGGACCTCATCCCTGACGCCCTTTTCAGATAGACATTCTGGAACATTTGTGGACAATTCAATCCGGTTTTTAACCAGAACTGTGTTTTCAGATGCACCACTTTTGTACCGGAACTTGTCCTTTCGGCTGCGTTCACACAGCAGGGAAAAGTTCCAGATGTCTGACGGCGGCGGGGGGGTGGTGGGGGGAGAGAGAATCGGACTCATGTTAAGAAGAAGAAGAAGAAAATATCATTTCTATAGCGCCTCTCAAGATAAAAAATCACGAGGCGCTTAAGCATAATTCTGCGCACACGAAGATGCATAGGAGACCTGGATGATGAAGCTCAATGGTTAAAGGAATCACTGAAGCGGTGTGAAGCGCTCCGTCGTGCGTCTAGGCGGTACCGTAGGAGGCGAGCTGCCGTGGTTCGCCGCATGCTACAGGAGCGGGCTATCTAGGTGCGCACAGCGTCCCCCGGTCCCCTCCTCCTCCCCTTTGTCCGGAACTCTACCTCACCAGTCTGAATCAGCCACCCTGTCCGTAACAAGTCCGGACCTGTTACTAGGGGCTTCGTCCGGTTAAATTCCGGAGCACGTTATCCGGATGTTTGTATTCAGACAGAAAGGTCTTACGGACAGATTCCGGAACATTTCCGTTTTTCATGGCCTGTCTGAAGGGGGCTCAGAAGGCATTCTACCCTTTTCCAGCTCAGCTGATTACTGCAAATGCTAAATGAAGTAGTACATTCTATTCTGGATTTTACTGTAACTTATATTTTTGTAAAAAAAATAATTTTTATTCAAGAAATGATTTTCATTTGCCAATTATTTCCTTGTTGTTTTGCTGCCCCTGCTAGGTGGACACGATTGCAGCGGACGAGAGTTTCTCCCAAGTTGATTTTGGGGGCAGACTGATGAAGGTGAACACAGAAGTTCGGAGTTTCGGGCCTCTTTCCAAGGGCAGAGGTTTCCATTTGGCTTTCCAGGATTTGGGAGCTTGCATGTCCCTCCTGGCTGTCAGAGTGTTCTACAAAAAATGCCCCAGCATTGTGCAGAACTTTGCTTTTTTCCCAGAGGCAAGGCTTGAACCAGATGCAGAGCATTGTTTTGAGATTTTAACATTTGTTGCAGGAGAGCTTAACTTTTTCACTGTGCAGACACTGACAGGAGCAGAGTCCACCTCGTTGGTTATCGCCAGAGGAAGCTGCATCCCAAATGCTGAGGAAGTCGACGTTCCCATAAAGCTCTACTGTAACGGAGATGGAGAATGGATGGTGCCAATTGGCAGTTGCAGCTGCAAGGCAGGCTTTGAACCAGATAACGGCAACGTGTGTCGAGGTAAGTTTCAGCTTTGATGTCACCGTTTGCATCATTTTTTGTGTCCACACGGGTCTATGCTGCCTCTATAAACACTCCAAAAGTGGAAAAAAATGTACATCTGTTTTATGTTAGTGTTTGATTTTAGAATTAAGTGACTAGAAAAAATACTTTTCAAAAAGTCACCTTTTGTGATGTCACAAACGTAAACTTTAAGTATAGAGCCACCTCTCACCTGGAGGTGAGCAGCTTGTGCTGTAGGAATAACAGCTTTTTAATTCTAAGTGACAAAGCCCTGAAACGGCTTATTCTGGAAGGTGCTGAAAATGTGTAGTTGTATTGTATTTTTTATTCAGTTATAGATTTAACATTGTAGATAATACAGTCAATACTTTACAATGTCAAGTGACTGAAAACGTCCAGGAAGAGGCAAAATGCTTATGTACAACCCTGCTAATTTGCTGTGTTTGTCCTCATAAACTTGTGCCACACACACACACACACACACACACACACACACACACACACACACACACACACACACACACACACACACACACACACACACACACACACACACACACACACACACACACTGCTTTTTCCCCTGAGCAGCTGTCTGCTCGCAACGGAGGTTTCATTCACTGACCAATGAGCGGACAGGATGCTCCATACATCCTCGAGCAAACATGGACTCCGTTACTCCTTCTGTGACTGTGTTCATCTTAACGTGAGGTCCAAACCGTGTGATAAATTGAAGCATGTCCTGATAGGCAGAGAGTAGCCCGCTCCTGGTTTGTTATATGGGATGAACCCATTCTCTGTTTTTTCTATATATATAGTAAAAATCAGAAGTAAGATTTCACGTAACCCTAGCAGCAGCTTGTGAAACATCATATCTACCGCTTTTTTAACTCTGAACCGCTTAAATGACCTTAATTCCCTCCAACCTGACACAGCCAAACAAAACAACGGAAGATTCGATTTCGCCATGGAACAGAACGCGTCGACGGCTTTGCCGCTGGCCGCCGCCGTGGGTCGCCTCCCGTGTGTTAGGGCCTCGACACACGGGAGGCGACAAACAACAGCGATCAGCGAAATTTGTCGCTGTTGCTTTTATTACCTGACAAACGGGAAGCGACCCACGGCAGCGGCCAGCGGCAAAGCCGTCTACGTGTTCTGTTCCATGGCGAAATTGAAACTTGCGTTGTTTTGCTTGGCTGTGTCAGGTTGGAGGGAATTAAGGTTATTTAAGTGGTTCAGAGTTAAAAAAGCGGTAGATATGATGTTTCACAAGGTGCTGCTAGAGTTATGTGAAATCTTACTTCTGATTTTACTATATAAAACATAATAATAATCAACTTCTCCTCCATGTTTGCTCAGAGATGTATGGAGCATCCTGTCCGCTCATTGGTCAGTGAATGAAACCTCCGTTGATTGGTCCTCGTCCGAGCGACAGCGATGAAAAGTTGAAAATATTTCAACTTTCTGTGATCGCGTCGCTGGGTCGCCTGTGCACGACACGTGCACAAGCGCAAAATTTCACACGCACTTTTTCGCATTTCGCTTAGTAGGAGGGAGACCCGCGATTATCGCTTTGTCGTGCATGTCTCATTGAAAATGAATGAAGGAGAGGCGATGTTGCCTCCCGTGTGTCGAGCCCATTAGATAATAAAAGCGTCGGCGACGAATTTCGCTGATCGCGGTCGTTGGTCGCCTCCTTTGTGTCGAGCCCAAGCTTTTCTCCTTTCAAAACAGGAAGGAGGGATGCAACTACTGTTTGCCATCAGTGAGTGTGGTGTTGCCGAGTCTTCTCGAGCTAATGCTGCAGTGCCGACAATTGTAATTTGACGACTGCCAGCAAAAAGGTCCAGAGTTGTTTAAAGTAGTTGCAGTAACTACATTTTCCCAAAGGATGTAATTTTTACTTCATTTTTTAATCTTTGTTTATTTCATTCAAAAGAAAAACAAATAAACATACTGTACAAACAATAAGAATACATAACAAAAAATCAAATTTGAACGAAAAGAAGCAGAATGAAGAAAAACATCTTATAATTTCTTTCCCTTTTTCCAGTAGAAATAATCACTTTATATATAATTACCATTTGTCAGACACACACACAGATTCATTTTAAACTTTTTCCTGTTCTAAATTCCAGTGCGATCATGATCATTGATTTAATTTACATTTTCATAATTATTTAGTACACCCAATTTGGTACATTTTTTGAATATATTAAATGACAGTTTTTTCATTTCCCTTTTAAGGTTATTCCATAATTTAACACCATTTACAGATATATTCCACTCCTTAATTTTAGTTCTAAATCTAGGTTTTGTAAACACATCAGTTTCTTTCAGCATGTAATTACTAGTTCTCTTTTCAAATATCCCCTGAATGTTTTTTGGCAGAGTACCTAAATTGGCTTTATACATGGTTTGTGTGATTTCCCAGTCTTTTAAATCATTAAATTTCAGTTATTTATATTTAATAAACGATGGGTTCGATGGATCTCTACAGCCACTATAACTGATGATTCTCAGAGCTCTTGTCTGTAAAATAAATACGGGTTGTGTATAGTTTTTGTATGTTGCTCCCCAGATTTCTACACAATAAGTCAAGTATGGAACAGTCAGTGAATTGTACAATGCCAACAAACCAGAATTAGTAACTTGACTCTATGTAATACTCCTAAGGCTTTGGCAGTTTTACCTTTTATGTAACTAATACGGGATTTCCATGTCAAGTCTTCATCAGTAAGAACTCCAAGAAATGTAGTTTCTTTTACTCTTTGACATGCAATCCCATCTATTTCCAATGACACGTCACTGTTCTTTTTATCATTAAACAGTATAAAATTTGTTTTATTAAGATTCAGTGTCAATCTATTTATTTCAAAACCAGTTCTTAATTTTAATCAGTTCATCATTTATCACTTTAGCCACCTCCTCAATATTTGATCCTGAGTAAAACAGTGTTGTATCATCTGCAAATAGGATGGTACCGAGTGTCTTAGATACTTCATTTCTACATAATGCACCTTTATCATGTATAGGATGGCTTGCTAGGCTAGTATTTTTGCACTCTTAGCTGAATATTTCCAAGCACAGACATTATTAGGGTGTATTTTTGGCCAAGGCGGCAGCACAAGTTACTCCATATGTTAATATTTGTCGAGGCACACTTAGATGAATATGACACAGAAATAGCTCCACTTCTCAACATTTCAAATATCTGCACCTCTTTTCCTTCCCTTTTTACATCTGGCCTCCTTCCTTATTTCCTCTCCAAAGTAGTACCCATCATTTCTTATTCTCCCTGGAGAGACTCATCTCTTTTGTACGTGCATGCTCGAGTGTGTGCGTGTGATGTATGCACATATGGTAAAATGATAAGTGAGACCGCTTCATCCCATGTTAATTAGTTTAGCATGTTCCAGCCAGATTAGTCTGCTGCAAATTAGTCCTGAACTGTCACTGAAAAGAAGAAAGAGAGAAAGGAAGAAAGAAGGATCTATTAATAGAAGAAATAGACCGAGAGCAGACTGATGAATGGTGTTTTGTCTGACTGGTTTCAAACGACTGAAATATTTCACAGTTTATCAGTTTGTTTGTTTGTTTTTTTGCACAGAAAACATTCATCATCTTGTGATATTTAGGTGAGTTTGTACAAGGTGTATCAGTCAGCAGTCAATGGAGAAAGTGATTGTCTTGAGCAGGGGCGGATTTAGGACTGAAGAAGATCCGGGGCTTAACACACACACACACACACACACACACACACATACATTTGGGGCAGCAGTAGCTCAGGTGGTAGAGCGGGTTGCCTCATGATCGGAGGGTCTTGGGTTCGATTCCAGCTCCCGCCAGGGGTATCCTGCTGTTGTGTCCTTGGGCAAGACACTTCTCCCAACTTGCCTGTGTTAGTGGTGGTCAGAGGGGCCGACGGCACCAAATGGCAGCCTCACCTCTGTCAGACCTCCCCAGGGCGGCTGTGGCTACAAGTAGCTTACCATCACTAGCAGTGTGTGAATGTGAGAGTGTGTGAAAGCGACTTTGGGGGTCTTGAAAAGCGCTATATAAGTTCAATGCATTATTATAATAATTATTATTATTATTATTATACACACACACACGCACGCGCGCACACATGCACACACGTGACTCGCACTAGTCAACATCATATATATTTGTCTTGTACCACATAATTTTTAATCTGAAGCTACATATTAAGCATTTTCAGGGCAGAGTATTGTTCCTGTTAGTCGTTAGTGTGAGATGATAGTAAATATTCCCTTTCTTTCTCCAACAACTGATAATCAGCTAACTTTAGGCAAACCAGCAGCACAACAAATATTTTCAAATAAGACTCACAAACCTGAGTCAACACCAGTCTCATCAAAGCTGGGGTTCTGTCGCGGTACTTTTTGTCTAAAAAACGTCCTTATGTCCATCTTCACTCATGCGTTTCAAGCAGAGAGTGTAGAAGAAGCCAGCTGCTGAAGGGCTTCTTCTTCAGTGGTGGAGGCTCAGGCAGGCTGTATACAAACTACTGCCAGCTGCTCCCTCTCTGTTGGACTTTGGTACTGCATGTTACTTCCACGTTTGAGATCCGGGGCTTTTCATAAAACATTCGGGGCTTGAGCCCAAGTAGCCGGGCCTAACGCCGTCCCTGCTCTCGAGGGTGTTGCTGCTTCTTTCTTCCCCGAGTCGCATTCATTCTGGTCATGACATATTTCTGTCGACTAGTTAGGAGAGAATAAACCCGGCTTCATGTTGCGATCACAGTCTGGTTTACAGACGTAAAAGTTACAGGAGGCAAAAACGTGACAAATAATCCCTATGTCCGTATCTGAAGCTGGGTTATAGAACATTTTTATTTTAGTTTTTACTTTGGCTGGAAATAATCACAAAAGCAAGGTAATGACAAAACAATTAGATGATTAAAATGATTTAGTCACTTTTGCCTTACCTTTAACAACACACACTTCTATGCCTTTTACATGTTTGTAGCTGTT